AAGTCTTTGGGCAAATCCTGCCGTGTAACTGTTGGTAGTTTACAAAGGGGTCATTCCTGAATGGATTTGCACAAACTACAACTTTCTTTGGCAATATCCCAGGGACACTGCCATCAAAAATAAAATGAAGCCACTAGGTGATGCAGGTTATCGATTAATGAATTAATCTAAAGTTGACTGATCTTTTCGATCAACTAAAGATTAATTGATAAGCTGCCATTTTCTTAAAAACCTGAGATTTCACTTGAATCAAGAGGGTCTTTTCATAACATGAAGGGCTGATTTTTTACATGCTGAATTAAAAAAAAGACTCACATTATTGTATTTTAACAACTTGTTGTACCAGCTGTATTAAACAGTGACCAAATAAACAGAAATTCTACGCTCCAGAGGGTCACCTGCACCTCTTCATGCTGTCTCTTGAGGGGGCCCTCTGCTCTTCGCCTGCTGCAGCTCCCTCTCCTGAGCTCCCTTCACTCAATGCAGTCCCTCCAGTGTCCTTGTCTGGTCCATCATCCTCATCCTCCTTGTCTGGTCCATCAACAACATCCTTCTCTTTGGTTCCAATCTCTCCTGAGTTCCTGAGTCTCCTGGTCCATCTACATCTTCCGCTCCTGGTTTGTCCCCATGGTCAGTTCCCGAGCCTCCGAATCTCTGGTCCACAGCAGCATCTCCAGAGGCACCAGAGGCTTCAGTCTCTTCGATTCCTGAGCCTCCAGTCTCCCTGGGATCTTAGTCCGTGGTCCATATAAACACCCTCACCTGGTCAGTTTTCTGCTTCCAGTCCATCTACTTCCCCCTTGTTTCCTCATCTGTTCCTGAGTCTCTTGATTCCAAGGCTTCTTGTCCCACTGGTTTGTGGGCCTCAACCAGTTACTTCAGTCCATCTACGTTAATTTCAAATTGAAACTATTTTTTAAACCTTATTACCTTTTTCTTTTATGGTCTTAATTGTTATTAATTTTATTCATTATTAATTAAGTTGATTTTTCGACTTTTGTAAAAAAAAAAAATACCATCAAGACAAAGCTGATTTTCTTCATCATTGCGTATTTATGTGAATGAAAAGAGTTCCCTGCAATCTTACCATCTCACACTTCGGTGTATAAGAGTCTGATTTGTACAGGGTGAATAAATATTCATCAGTAAAAGCTGATGTGGAGCCCCAACAGTGTGGCAGAGTGCAGAAACAGTGTCACCCTTACTGCTTCTGTGCTCGTTCTCGCTACATAGATGACTGGGAGTGTTGTGTTTTTAGACAAAGGTAAAGGACAAAGTCTTGTGTCCAGCCAAAGTCAGCACACAACAGGAGACTCAGGAGTGAACATGACCTGATTGACTCAACGCATGCTTTTTAAAAAATTTCTGTCATGTTAACTCCACCAGCTTTCATTCATTTGTTGAGAATAGAAAAGATTAGAGTGAACTAAGATGTGAATGAGCAGCTGAAACAACACTTTGCCCTATCCTAACTGTGTGGAATTGGCTAAAAGATAAGGGAGAAATCGTTCCTGCTGATTGTACTTTGAGTGCGCAGTGGATATGTTCAAACCTGTGGGCTGTGTGTCTCTGTCTGTACTGCTCTGTTACAAGTGCAGAACATAAAGACCTTGTGTAATTGAATGTAGAGACAACACAGTCATTTAAAACAGTCATAAGCACCTCTAGTCAATAAAATAATTAAATGAGAAAAAGTATTTAAGAACATTAACTCTGTTTGTTTTGTTGTTTAAAAAATGATACAGTATAGATGATGGGAATAACCATATTAACTTCACAGCTTTGGATGCAGGACAAGCAGAGCTGTAAAGTCACCACCAGGGGGCAGCAGATACAGCAGGTCGTACGTCCTTTCTGATATTTGTCCTTCCCTGTTACTTCTACAAACATGAGCTCAGAAGGTATTTTTCCTTCACGCAGATAACATATTTATTAATAAAGAGAATGGCAACTGAGCTCAGTCAGAAATATGAACCATTTCATAGGTTAGAGACATTGGTTAAAAAAATAAATAGGAGTTTTAATACCACTTTTATAGTTTTTCTGTACCTAGAAAAAAAAACACTAGTGGAGTACAAAATATAAGGAACTCATGATCATATGTTGCATTGTATTTTATAATTATACTTTGATTTAATAGATCTTTATTTTGATAGAGATGGCCAACATTGAGTGTCTGAGTAGGTGGGATCCTTCCTAAATATAAATTTAAAATTACTAAAGCCTAAAAGTCCAGTGTGTTATTGGTGTGTGATTAGTGAGAGTAAATATACTTTCAAATATTCTGTGTTTTTATGTAAATAAGAAACATGTTAGGAGTCATATGACTTTACTTTACTTTACTTTACTAAATTTATTATGCTTAAATGAAATGGGACTGTGGTGCACTGAACTGGTTTGTATTTAAGTAAACCTGGATTTGTTTTAAACACTTCTTTGTGTGTATGGTCCTGATGTTACACTACCTTTGTAGTTAATTGGTATAATTTAATTAAAATAGACTGAAGTTAATTGAATATTTTGATGGTGTATATTATGGAGGACTGAATCTGACATAATTAAAAATAAAAGAAGAAATAAATGGGCTGGTAAATAAATAAATACACCTAAAATACACCAATTAAATAAAAAAGTAGAACTTTACCTCAAGTTTTATAATTTAATAATTTCATATTTAGTTTTCCAACTTAGTTCTAACAAATTATATATTTTAGCACAAAATTTATATTTTACAGTTTAAAAATATATATATTTCATTTTACTTGTAGATGCATTTGTGTCTACTAAATTATTATATTTAATAATTTTTATCAACAAAAGCATGATAAAGGCAAGGAGGAAAACACTTACCTGTGCCTTTGTTTTAAACTAAACTTTTAACTTTAAGCTAAACTAAGGCAGCACAATCATGCACAGTAGACCTGCTCCTTCCTGTCTGTTGACCAATAGGAGATGAGCTGACCCGGGAAGGACGGCCCACTTTATTTGCATAATGATGCAGAAATACATAAGGAAATGTAATTACAGGAAACAGAGAAACGTAAAAATAACTCATGGAAATATGAAGACTTGTGGAAATAAATTATTAAAAAATATTTGAATAGAAACATTTAGGAGACACAAATGGTTGTACAAGTAAAAGGAAAAAACAAAAATATATATTGTTCAACAGTAAAATTAAATTATGTGCTAAATTTTTAAATGTATTGGAACCAAGCTGGAAAAATAAAAATGAAAGTCAAATTATAAAACACAAGGTAAAGTTCTCCTTGTTTAACTTAATTGGTTCATTTTAGTGTATCTGTTTATTTATTGTTTCATTGATATATTTCTGCTTTTATTTCTAATTATGTCAGTTTCAGTCCTCCACAGTACACAGTATAACAACCAGCTGGTTAAAAAAGCAACATGTGCGGGGATAGCTTTAGTTTCTAATTCAGTCTTTTCAAGTGAAACTTTTTCTAATAATGCTTCCCCTAGTGGTCAACCTGTGACATTGCAGTCAATAAGCCCAGCCCTTTTTTTTACGTTAGAGATCTTCCACCAGTTTATTGCTCAGCTGCTTCTCTGTTCCTCTGTTAAAGAAAGTTGTAATCACCAATGAAGCACTTTCATTACATTTTAATCATATAATTAAATGATCAGCAATTCAGCATACATAAATATTCTTTGTTAATAAACACTGAATCAAATGCATAATTCTGTCAGAATGTTTTAGAACAGAATAGAAACAGCCTTTATTGTCCCGCGTGGGGAAATTCAGGTGTAGTAGCAGCAGCAGGTACATGCATCAATCCACAAAACAGTATGTTTCTCAATCGTAGCAAAAATAATAGAATTAAAGATAGTAACAATAAAAATAAACATATCAAAATAAAAACAAGAATAAGAATTACCGTACCAGACTATCAAGGTGAAATTAGATAAAAAGGAAAGTAAAAAGCAAGATACTGTGCAGAAAGACACACAATTTGTCAGAAGGGGTTTTTGGATTCAGGACCACTGAAGACAAAAACAGGTTCAAAAGGTTTATTATTTCACTGTTATGTGAGGAACCTCTGGACCCTCTGGGTAGCACACTCTTAACTGTAGGGAAGGAACAGGCAGGAGGCAGAGATCGGGAGACAGTGGGTCAACAACAAGAGATCAGGCATGGGCATAGATAAAGTGCTGGACATCTACTGGGCGAACCGTTCATTAATCTGGCAAAGGCTGAGTGAGGGACGGGAGCTTAAATAGGAGAGAGGACAGGTGAGGCAGATGAGGCTGATTGCTGTGGCACAGGTGAGGAGGAATGGAGTAATCAGAGGAGCTGAGCGAGAGTGACAGAGGGGCAGGAACAGATGCAGCCCAAAACATGACACAATTACAGGAAATAACAGTCATGACAGACTTGTGCAAATTGAGTCGAACTCAGGGGTGTGCAAATTGTTTCAGACTCAGTCATTAAGTCCAGTATAGGAAAAAACAGTGAATAGTTATTAGTATTATTGGTTATTTTTTGTGTAATGACTGCGAGGTAGAGTTGTTTTGATCACCTATGTCACCTTTCTGCATTTTTATCGGCTTTAACGAGTCTGAATAAAACATCTGGGGTTGTGGTTATTATCCAATTGTTTGCATGAGCTCTTTAGGGCTCTATGGGTTGTAATGGGGATATCTATGGATTCAATTTACATTTGGTTTCACATTGGTGCTGGGTTTGGTAGCTGAGTGAAACTCATTATTTTAATTCTTGATCCATCTCTGAAGTTGTTACAGGGCCCACTGCTGTCCAGCTAGGGTTGGTGGGAGTCTGTGACAATCAGAAAAACCTGTTCCCATATGGGGAGTATGATTTGTGTCAAGTACACTCTAAAAATGAAATGTTGGATTTACTTAACCATGTTATGTTACCTGTTTCCACTTGAGTTGAGTAAATTCAAAGCAACATGCTCATGTTCTTTGGTTAAAAAACTGGTATATTGCTTAGAATTTACTCACCTCAGTTAAGTGGAACCAGGTAACATAACATGGTTAAGTAAATACAGCATTTCATTTTTTTTCACAGTGTATTAAAATATGATTCACCTGAATACCAGGAAATAGGTTTCCTCACCAGAGAATTGTGCTGTAACAAGATGTACAATGCTACTTTCACTGTCAGTGGTCATAATGTTCTGGCTGATTGGTGGATCTTGGCAACAATAACAAATAAATAAAAATAATAATAAACCTTAATAAAATGTATTAATAACAATTATATAAATTATAATAATAATTAAAGTAATAATAATTCATAAAAATAAATTACATGAGTAATAAACTGAAACTATCAAAGACAGACTGGGTCTGGATCATTTTTGACACTATCATCACCAGACCCCAGTTAGCACAGCCATCACTACAGCAAACTCAGAGTTAAAACAGAATCAGAAAAACAAAATTCAAATTAAAATTTGGTGTAATTCTTTTCTTCTTCGAATATTATATCCAAGTCATCTCCTGTGTCATCCACACCTACAAAATAAAACCACAACAACAAAAATAATTAAATATTCTCAATCTGCATCGAGATGAACATTGTGTAGAACCTTTCAAGCTGTGAATTAAATCACTTCTTACCAAAGCAGTTCTGGACTCTTTCTGATCTTTGCAGCAGGAGTAACAGAAGACTAAACACCAACAGGACACCAAAGAAACCTCCAATCAAACTGCCTATAAGAACAACATTGCTGGCACCATTATCTGTTTTAAAATAAAAAAACAAACAAAGCAAAACATCAAAATAGTTACTTAAACTAGCAGCATGTAAAGGGATACTAGCAGGTATCCTATCCTATGATGTGATTTATTTGTTTATTTCTGTGACTAAATGAAGTAAATTTGACATTAGGAAATGTTAATATGTTTAATCACCATAAACATGGAGGACAGCAGAATTGACATTAGGATCGTCTGGTTGCTGACAGACCACCTTTGCTTCATTGTCAGAAAGTGAGGTTCCTTTGAGGGTCCAAATGGCCAACAGCTCGCCTTTCTTCACTTCACAGCTTCCGTACAGGGCCTAAGATTAAGATCAAAGACAGAAAAGGCCGGCATAAATTCAGCTGAGGTCACTCTGATTAATCATTTAAAAGAATATACATGTACATGGGAAGAGGTGCAGCTTGGATAAATGGTGGTCAGTAAGCACCATTATAGGTAAATCCAGGATAATGAATACTCTGATATATTTCTGACTAAGCTGGAATTTAGTCATGGCTGATAAACAAAGGGATGATGTAATGTGAGTCAAAACTTCCTACTGAAGACAAAATTTCCTTAGTGACCCACAGGGGTAAATAAAGCTGATAATCAACTCCTCACCTGGGGAATATCCTCCACTTTGCCATCAGGACAGGTGAGAATGTAGTTTCTGTGACTGCTGTAGTAGGTAAAGGTGAGGTTCTGAGATCCTTCAGGCACACCACACTGAAACGCCACAGGTTCGCCCACACTCACTGTGACGTCATTTGGGAGGGTCCAGTAGCTGGCAGCTCCTGGTTTGGGCATTACAGCTTTGGTGTTGTTGACCGGAGAGACCGTGGAGTTTTGTGCTGAAGCAAATATGGGTAAAGAAGACAAAGTGAGAAGTGATGATTTAATACAAACTGAATAGTTTCAATTCAGAATAAAATTAGATGATCTGAGACGTTCTTCAAAGCACCAGATTGTATTTAATGGCACTATTGAATATATATA